GGCTGTTCTCCTGCAGAGTGTGGGGGGTTGGACTAGATGACCTGCACGGTCCCTTCCAACTCTAACAGTCTATGATTCTATGATTACACCGCTAGGAATGGGGGGGAAAGACAGTCTGAGGGTCACCCCCCCCCCACTGGCAGGGATTCCCTCAAGCTGGCTGGCCCATCCGTTGGGCGTGTCAAGAATCCTCCTTCCCAGATTATCATGCCAGACAGCGGAAGCCGTTTCCAGCCTGCTTCCCGACCCAACCGTCTTGAAGTAGGGAAGAGTGAGCTGGCTTCAGAGCAGGCACTACTGTGTATACCCTGGCACAGATAGGAAGTTCACATGAAAACGACAGAACGAGGAAAGAAGGGAACGTGACATTCTCCCGCTAGATCGTTTTCAGAAGGCAACCTGTGTTAGTCTGTAACAGAACAGCTCCGTTTGAGTCTGGTGGCACCTTAAGAGACCTGTGAGATCTTCGGGATATGAGCTCTCGAGCATCAAAGCTCAAAAGGACGTAAGAGAAGCCACGCTGGATCAGGCCAATGGCCCATCCAGTCCAACACTCTGTGCCACACAGTGGCCAAATATACCAGGGGCCATCAGGAGGTCCAGCAGTGGGGCCAGAACTCCAGAAGCCCTCCCACTCTTGCCCCCCAAGCACCAAGGATACTGATCATCACTGTCCCAGGCATAAGAACATAAGAGAGAAGCCATGTTGCATCATGCCACTGGTCCATCCAGTCCAACCTTCTGTGCCACATAGTGGCCCAAACCCAGGGGCCATCAGGAGGTCCACCAGTGGAGGCAGAACTCCAGAAGCCCTCCCACTGTGGCCCCCAAGCACCAAGGATACTGAGCATCACTGCCCCAGACATGAAAACCCATGTTGGGTCAGGCCAATGGCCCATCCAGTCCAACCTTCTGTGCCACATAGTGGCCCAAACCCAGGGGCCATCAGGAGGTCCACCAGCGGGGGCAGAACTCCAGAAGCCCTCCCACTGTGGCCCCCAAGCACCAAGGATACTGAGCATCACTGCCCCAGACATAAGAGAGAAGCCACGTTGGGTCAGGCCAATGGCCCATCCAGTCCAACACTCTGTGCCACACAGTGGCCAAGACCCAGGGGTCACCAGGAGGTCCAGCAGCGGTGCCAGAATGATGGCAAAGGGAGCTCTGACTCTTGAAATCTCACGTCCCCAAAACTTCCTTGGTCTCCAGGCTGCTACGGAACACAGACCGAGCAATTCTTCGATCAGCGGCTTCATTCTTTTTGGTGCAGTGCCACCTTGTGGCCACAGCAGCCCTCACCATGGTGTTTTTTTCTGTCTCAGCTGATGTGCTTTTTGCTACGCCTACGTATGAAAGCATCACCCCCTCCTGCACACAAACACGCGTGCGCTCTCACACACACTCCATCACTCAAGCTCCATCTTCTAGTAGCACAGCGATAACTGGCATGATGAAACGAGAGGGAAGAACAGTCCTCACTGTACTCCAGAAAGCTCTGCGGCAGGGAAAGCGAATCTACATTGCAAAGAGAGAAGCGCATATCCTGAAACTGGCGTTACTCCCGCCGTGGCGGGTGCTAAGTTTGCTCAGCCGCTCCCGTCCAAAACGAGGGCCTTAGATCGACAAGGGGGGAGGTCCACAGCAGCT